TTGAGAAAATGGCACATGGGGCATTTTAGAGACCACAGACACATTGGGGCATTCTTTGAGACCACAGGCACATTGGGGCATTCTTTGAGACCATGGCACATTGGGGCATTCTTTGAGACCATGGCACATTGGGGCATTCTTTGAGACCACAGCACATTGTGGCATTTTTGAGACCATGGCACATTGGGGCATTCTTTGAGACCACAGCACATTGTGGCATTCTTTGAGAAAATGGCATATTGGGGCATTCTTAGAGACCACAGACACATTGGGGCATTCTTTGAGACCACAGGCACATTGGAGCATTCTTTGAGACCGTGGCACATTGAGGCATTCTTTGAGACCATGGCACATTGTGGCATTCTTTGAGACATTGTAGCCTCCACTACCTCACAAACTGTGAGTGATCAATATCTGTAATGACTAATCAATGATATGACAATTAATTCAAATGTTTCATTGTTTATAAACGGCTCAACTTGGTAGCCATCTTGTGAACACCAACAATCAGTTATGAAATAAGTAACGTTTATTCTTGAAATACAAATGCTCTTTACATGTACCAGAATATGGCTGTAACTGCAATGATAGCAAATTATTTCCCACAAGCACCCAGTCATCTAATGCAGCAATGGCAGTGACATTAGTCATAACAGTTGTCATGCCAAACAATATCAATTGAAAAAAAAATGGAAATTAAAAAAAAAAAAATACAATTAAATTAAATTTGGGACATCAGAAGCTAAAGAAAGACTCAAAAATTCCAACTAGGTTTAAATAATTTGTTTTAAAAACAGCCTTTTTTTAGAATACAAAATTCTGTGAAATCTTCACCCAATAGAGTAAAAATCTGTGTTTACAAAATGTTTGGCAGAATTTCTGACCAGACTATCAAGTCCAATAACACAGTGGCAGGTCATAAAAATAGCTAGCTAGTCTTGTTTTGTACAGAAAAAATGAAAATATACACTCAGAGAAAGTTATTTCATAGCAAAGAAATAACTTTCGTTTATGTGGTAATATAATTGTGACTGAATACCGCAATGCTAATTGCACTTTAAAGTATGCACACTTCATAACTACCACGTTGTTTGCAAGTAATGGTTACACAATGCTCGGACATGTGCACATACACGAGTGACAAAATTTCATGCCATAATTTGTAAATAAATAATCATTTTAGTAATAGTCAACAGTATGTATCAATCACTGTCAATTTGTTAAGAACAAAATAATATGTATAACATGAAATACACACTACTGGTATATATCATTTTTGCACCATATGTCACTTGTTCTTGCAATAGGAAATGAGGTAAAATGCCCCAAAATCTATTTTTACTCAATATTTTAATTTTGTCTCCATCATCATTGTAACATAAGATATCACTCACAAAAATATAAGACATTATTTTACTACTGAGTAAAGTTCTATCTTAAAACTAAAATTAGTATTGAACTACTGGTTTAAGAAAGAAAAAGACTAAATTGTGAAAGAGAGAGACAAAATTGTGAAGTATCAAAACATGCACAATTCTACAATCAGACGGAATTTTGGGAGCCAATATATTAACAAAATCTGAGGAACAATTACATGGGGTGGAACATTTTCAAAGTGGTAACAACTGGTTTAACAGAGATGAATGTTTTCAAAGTGGTAACAACTGGTTTAGACTCTTAATGTTAACTTTACCATACTGTCTGTATAACCAATTTAGGCATGGTTTAATGAGTTGAAGCTGCTTCTGTCACAAAGAGTTCATTTCTAATTGTTCTACTCATAAACTCATGGTAGTGCATACTGTGTCTATATACAATGTGTTGTATGATACACCAATTCAGTTGCTATAGAGACATCTTGCGTCCTTCAATACTAATATTTACAGCACGTGGATTTTTATTCTTGCTTTGCTGTTTTCTTTCCTTGAATTTCCTCATGTGTTTATCTAACCTGGACACTGGTTTCTTACCACCCTGACAATAGAGTATATATTATTAGGTTAAAACAAGCTCATTTGATTAATAATATTGCAGGATAAGGTAAAGATGCAGGTTTGAGCACTGCGCTTAGAACACTATCAGATTCTAAATCACAGACTGAGCACTGCAAAATTCTAAACTCGCAGTTTGAAAACTGCCAAATTCTAAACATGTGCGATTAGAAGATTGTAAACTCACTTTCAAACTCCTGGTGTATAGTATTTGCTTTATTAGAAGCACAATTGTATTTATTGTATGCCATTGAAATTTTGACCACAAGCCCACTGATGTCACTTATAGAAGCACATACATGTGTTTCTATTAGAACATGGTATGTAGATGGCATGTATTTACACTATGTGCTTATGTAAATAATTTGTTGAACAAAGTAGTATCAATGGAACAGTTAGATTTTAGTGTGCTTCTAATAGAGTACATGCACCTGTATTGCTTCTAATACAGTAATTGCAATTCTACTAAAATTATCCGCACAATATGATTATATCAACCTACCCTGGCAACTTCAGCTTCAATATTCCATTTTGGTCTCACAACGTAATCTTTTGTTGAAGGCATTGGTACACGTGCTCTACCAATCCACCCTTTATCACCAGGCCTTAGTGCTCTGAAATCAGAATATATCAGGTTATTGATAATAATAGTCCAACCTAGTCCTTCTCCACCAATCAGAATGCTCCATTGCAAGACACAATATACACTAAAAGTCTGCGAGTCTGACTCATTTTCTCAAGTCAAAACTTCTTGTTCTCATAAATTGTCCTAGGAATGTTATACACTTTTGTTCCCATGGATGTTTTGTTTAGAATTCTCATATAGATCACGTAAAATCTAGTTCACTATGTTGAAAAGAAATCACAAAATCTGGTTTCGAACTGACATAGCCCACACAATGATCAATGTGACAGACACAGCGCCCATTGAGCTACCTGGAACATTATTTCTCAGTATGTATTTGTTGTTTATAATGCTGTATCATTACTTTCTATTTTCACCATTCTGTACATTCAGAAGGCCATTGCCCCAATATTTTTGGAAGACGCTTGGATGGCCGACGTGCAGTACGTGTCACACAGGCAGTACTTTATTTGACATAGTATTTGTTATGCAGTTAATTCAGTGATATTTGCTGGTCATTGGCTCTTGGGTTTTATGATGTTTTGAGTTAATCAATATATAGTAAAGTGCGCCATAATCTCAGTATGCAACTTCTAAGAGACCAATGATTCCAAGTTCTGAAAGGCCAATTCTCACACATACATGTACTGCACCATTCATACATATATCATTTAAAAATTGAGACACAGTCCCTTTTTCTCCATTACAAATTTCATACAGAATCGTTGACAGGATTCACAAACTGCTCTCATCAGTACAAGACTTTCCACAGGAAAATATATCTATAGAAGGTTTGGGTGGTGGACTTCAAATAAAATAAATCCCTTGTACTCTTCTAGCTATAAAGTCCTCACCAATATGAAATGTCTCACCCTGCATATTTTATCTCGGGGTCAGACAAAATATTCATACAAGGGCTTTATCCAATACTTAATTAAGCATCTTATTTTAAGGTTAAAGGCGGTGGCTACAACAAGGGTGGCGGGGGCAACAGGGGTGGTGGCTACAACAGGGGCTGATGGCTACAGCAGGTGCGGTTGCTGCAACAGGGGCGATGGCTACAGCAGGTGCGGTTGCTACAACAGGGGTAGTGGCTACAAAAGGGGTGAGGGGTGGTGGCTACAACAGCGGCGATGGCTTAAAC